GGAAGAGATGGGCTGTCCCTTTGTGAATGCTGCCACCTTGTGGCCAGACTCAGAAGCGCAGCCAGACATTACCTTCCCAGTGCAAGGATCAAAGTGGCAGCTGGAGATGCCCTACCGAATCAGGCCTGATCCCTGAGTTCCAGGCTGGTGGTCCAGACAAATAGGGGGGAGTGGGCAGGTAGGCCCCGAGGAGGGAGTCCTCAGAGCCTAGCACTGGTGTCCTCTGAATACTCGTGATGAGTTTCAAGCAGACAGAATGGCAAGAGCAAAGGCTCAGAGGCAGAAAATCTCATGGGGGCCAGCTCGTGGCTTAGCGGTTAAGTGCGCGCACTCCGCTGCTGGTGGCCCGGGTTCGGATCCCGGGCGCGCACCGACGCACTGCTTCTCGGGCCATGCTGAGGCCGTGTCCCACATACAGCAACTAGAAGGATGTGCAGCTATGACATACAACTATCTACTGGGGCTTTGGGGGAAATAAATAAATAAATAAAATTATAAAAAAAAAAGAAAAGAAAATCTCATGGTACGTGGGAAGAGTGAGGTGTTAGTGCGGCCAGAGCCCAGAGTCCAAGGGGACCAGGCCAAGATGGACTGACCCATGGCAGTGACCAAGCAAGAAGGTCCTCTAAGGCCATCTAGTGAATGAATTTGGATCTTGTCCTCTAATCTGGGCACGGGGAGGGTGAGAGCAGAATGACACACTTGGAGGCTCAATATTCATTCACTCACTCAGTAAATATCTATCGAGCACCCACTATGTGCCAAGTGATGTTCGAGATCCTTAGGTTACAACATTGAGAAAAACAAAGATTCCTGCCCATTTGGAGCTTACATTCTCATCAGGAGGAGACAGACAATAAACAAAAAACATTATCAAGAAGTAAATTATATTTAGAAGGCAAAAAAAAAAAAAAATCATACATGGGAGAAAAAAAGGCAGGGCAAGGGAGAGCAGAAGTGCTTGCCTGTAATTTTAAATGGAGTGGTGAATAGGCCTTGTTGAGGTGACATTTGAATAAAGACTTAAAAGAGGGAGGGAGACAGCCCCGCAGGATCTGGCAGAAGGGCGTTCTACGCAAAGGGAACAGCCAGTGGCTTGGTTTGGAGGACAGCTCAGAGGCGAGAGAAGCAGGGAGATCAGTAAGGAGACTGTTGCAAGATAATGAGGGGCACAGACCAACAGAGGCTGTGGGAATGGAGAGAGGCTGAGGAAGGAAGCAAAATTGGCAGGACTTAGTGCCTGCTTGGGTATGGGAGGTACATAACTCCTCCATCATACTGTGTCCTGAAGTCCCCATTTCAAGGCTAACAGACTCGCTATACGTGCCACCTCTAAGGCAGGTAGTGAGAATGCTCAGCACATTCCATCCTGGATGACTCCACAGCTCTCCTGGATGCTCCCTCCCTCCCTCACAACACACACACCACTACCCTCCCTGGCGTCTTAATTCCTTAACCTCAACTTCAGTGACTTTTCCTCCAGGCCACCCAGCTACCCACTCTCATGCCCACAACCAAGTCCTGTCAGCTCCTAAAACTCTCAAACCCACTGACTCCTCCACCTCATCCTTTAACTACTGTTAGGGGTTGAACTGTGTCCCTCCAAAAAAGACATGTTGAAGTTACCGTATACTACCTTAACCCCTAGTACCTCAAAATGTGACCTTATTTGTGAACAGGATCTTTACAGAGGGAACCAGGTTAAAATGAGGTCATTAGGGTGGGCCCCAATCCAATAGGACTGGTGTCCTTATGACAAGGAGAAATTTGGACGCAGAAAGAGACACGCACAAAGGAAAGAGGATGTGAAGATGGATGACAGAGTCATGCAACTAAAAGCCAAGAAGGCCAACGGCTGCCGGCAAACGCGAAGCTGGGAAGAGGCCAGGACGGACTCCCTTCGGGTTTCAGAGGGAAAATGGCCCGGCTGACACCTTGATTTCGGACTTCTGCTCTCCAAAACTGTGAGACAGTAAATTTCTGTTGTTCTAAGCCACCCAGGTTGTGGTCCTTAGTTAGGGCAGCCCTAGAACCTGACAGAGCTACAACGCCTTCCTAGCTCTCTCGACTACCCCACCCCACCCCAGACATTTTCACGGGGACCTCCAGGCCACTGACCCCTGCCCCTTTCTGTCTTCACTTCTTTCCCGACACAGCTGGGATCCCTTGGTCCCTCACCGCACTCTCTTGCTAGTCTCCTCAGTTCCTCCACCATCCCAGCGACTTCACCTCCGTCTGGAAGAATGCACGTGTTTTCTCTGAGTCCTCACCCGTCCTGTGGGTGCTGCTGGAGCTCACACACCCTGACTGATGACACTGCAGGTTCGTGGTCACCAGCCTCGACTGGGCTTTTAGCGCTGCCTGGTCATCCTCCTGTACCCTCTAGTGATCTCACCCAGTTGCAACAACTACCTCACACCTCCTTCCCACCAGACGAAAGAGCTGGACTCCTGCTTCAAGAGGAGATAGGAGCCTTGGGAACTCGGAACTCCCTCACGTCCCACCTTCACCTCCACACCCATCTGCATGCTGCCCATCCTCCACTCCTTCCCTCCGGGTACAGGGAGTCATGGCTCCTCTTCCCTTCGGGAGGCCCATACCTCCACACTTCTGGATCCCAATCCCTTTCAGCCCCTCAGGGTCTCCCTCTATGAGTTATCCACAATCTCCTGCACCTTTGAAATCTTTCCCTATTGGCTTCTTCCATTAGCCTACAAACATGCTCAAGTCTCTGCTCATTCATTAAAAATAAATAAATAAATAAATAAATAAGAAAAAACCTCTCTGTAACCCACATTCCTCTCCAGTTATTTATCACCTCTCTCCTCCCATTCACAATCCAACTTCTTGAAAGGCCTGTCTCTATTTCCTTACCTTCTGTGCCAAAGCAGAATAACCTTTCCTAAGGATTATGGAAGTAATAGCCATACTGCAGTGGATTAAGGAGAAAGTGGGAAGTAAAGAAATTGAATCAGCAATTTATATACAACTCTTATGTTCCTTCCAAAGCTTGGTCAGTCTCTCTGACTCTGAGGGCCTCACTTCTCTCTGGCTCCCTCCCTGCAATTCCTCCTGTGGGCCCCAGTTGTGCCCTGTAGAGGCCAAGGAGGGAAAAGGCCCCAGAATCATTAGCCATCCCTCCCACAGCCTATTTCCTGATTCTCTGAGCTGTGGATCCTATTCTTCCCAAGAGACTTTGTCCCCAGCTCAGTTTCCCTCCACACTGCCCCTGCCATCATCCTGGAAACATCAGGTGGTACCTTAATGATGAGCTGCCCAATTGGGAGCGCCCCCTAGGACTCCAAAAGCTTGTGATGCCACCTTACTGAATCACTCCTTCAGCACTTCAGGTCACCAAGCTTATTCTACGTGATCATTCCACCCAGGCCACAGCAGGCTGGATCAGGATGGGATTCCCCAAAGCTCCAGAGCCCATGACACTCAGAAGGCTGTTGATGGTAGAAGACACACAAGTGGAGACACTCAAAGAAAAGGCAATATGCAGAAGCTGGGAGGGAGCAAAACCCCTAATTAGCCACAAAGAGAATGGGGAAAAGTCAGGCAGTTGTTGGTAGCAAGACCCCTGAGTCACTACCACAGCCTCTAGCAGGGTGTTAGAAGCTCCATGACTCTCTGCATTTGAGAGGCCTGGCTGGGCAGTTGCTGAGAGGGTTTCCCGTCTCTTCTAATATCCCCTGAATCTCCATCACTTGCCCTCCCTCAAGATCTTCCGCATCACTCTGGACAACCTACCTTGGAAAGCAAAGGATGCAGTGTTCAAAGTTTTGACCACAGCCTGCAGGCCCTATGGACGCCTCTAGTCCCCCCAACTTCCTCTCTCCCAACATCTCAACCCTCCTGCCTGGACTCAGCCAAACATCACTTCAACACTCTCAAATTGCTGGGCCCACACTGACACAATGTGAGTCCAGAATTCCTGGCGACTGGACTCCCAGGCTACTGCACACTTTGGAGAAGATCTCAAAATCCAGTGGGAGACCCAACTGACTCAACTCTTCATTGAGTCTATCACTGCCCACAGTTCTGCTCTGGTTCCTGCAGCCCCCTGGCTACTACTGCAAGTTTCACCTCTCTCCTCAGGACCCTGACCTGCCCATGGTGAATCTGAGAGTCTAAGGCCGAGGTGAGACAGAAAAGGAGCAGCAAGGGGCAAAAAGGCAAGGATGAGACCTGCAGGGGAGATGTGAGATTAAGGTATGTTTTTTTTTTTTTTTTTGAGGAAGAGTAGCCCTGAGCTAACATCTGTTGCCAATCCTCCTCTTGTTGCTGAGGAAGATTGGCCCTGGGCTAACATCTATGCCCATCTTCCTCTACTTTATATGTGGGACACCCGCCATAGCATGGCTTGATAAGCGGTGCATAGGTCCACACCCAGCATCTGAACCAGCGAACCCTGGGCCACTGAAGCGGAGTGCACGAACTTAACCACTACGCCACCAGGCCTGCCCCTAAGGTATGCTTTTAAGATAGGAAAAGGCGTGTTTGTAAACTGAGTCATTAATAACGATAGCAATTAACAATTATCTAGCACTATATGCCCAGGTGGTATCTAAGAGTCATATGTGTATATTTCTACATTTAATCCTCGTAACAACCCTATGAGGTAAGTACTATATCCTGTTTTACGGAAAACACTATGGCACAGAGCACTAACTCGCTAGGAAGTGGCAGAACCAGGATTCAAATCCACACAGGCTGGTGCCCGAGACCATGAGCTTAACTGCTATACTCTAAAATACGCTGCAGATGGAGAAAAATGTCTGACCTGGCAAAGTCCCTAAACCAGCCGAAAGTAGGTGGCAGACAGCCACCCAGGGGTCTTGATACAGTCAGGTTACTGCTTGAGGCTTATCATGTCTAGATCCTCCCAGCACTGGCCTGAGCCTACCCTTCCTGTCTTCCGTCTGTGAGCTCCCGGTGACAAGGGCAGGACTCCCACTCCCTTAATCCCACCTTCACACAGCAGGCCGAGCAGAGGCTCATCAGACAAATGGGCAGAATCTTTATTTCATAACCCACTCCCTGGACCTCCGCCAGAAGGCAGATCAGAGGCACTGCAGGCAGAAGGCAGAGTGAGCCCTTCTTAAGCAATCCAGAACCCGGCAGAGACCCCACACCTGTCACACCTCACAGCAGTCTCTTTCCACACGCCAGAGGGAAGGGGAAGCAGGACAGAGGCCCACTTCTGTGATTTAAGTCTTGATGGGGATGTTGAGCAGTTACAGAGGCTTCCGAGAGAAGGCACAGCCGTCCTAGACATTCAGGCCTGGAGAACAGCTTGCTCAGCAGGTCCTTAGGACCGGGTGTCCCGAGCCCTTCTTCTGGGTCGGGGGCCACAGCTGGAGCTTGGTGTGGGGCCCAGGCCAGGAGGTGCCCCTGGGGGCTGGTAGCCACACTCATTGGGGTCCAGGGGGTCCCGGCTGAGCAGCACCCACACTGCAGGCACGTGGCGGCGCACCGTGAGGGGATCTAGGCCTGTGTCGGGTGAGGTTGGCACCCAGCTGTCCTCGGTCTGCAGGAAGCGCAGCTTGGTGAGCTGGTGCAGGCCTGGTACCCGCCGCTTGACAATTTCAGCACAGCTGACCGCCTTCCCTGCAGCCCGGCCAGAACCTGAGAACACCACATGCCGGGCGCTGCCACCCTCCAACCGACCCAGAGCCAGCCCCAGCAGGTTTCGGATTTTGCTGCCATCTCGGACCCGCATCTCCAGGGTATCAGGAGGTAGCTGGGGCATCGGGGAAGGTGCTGGGAGTTCCACAGAGCCAGCTTTCCGGTAGTGCTCCATCCTGCTTGCTGTCGCGTCTGAATCTCGCTGCCACTGCAGGGAGGTGTCAGATGAATGCTCGGCAATGTGGCCCAGGCCATCCCTCCACCCCGGCTCTCTGGGACCTGCCCCTGCTCCTCATCTCAGACTTGCCAGAAACAGGACCCTATCCCATCACCCCTAGCTTCTCAGGACAGGGGGTACGCCTGCCTCACCCCAGGAAGGGGCTGTACTCTGTATACCGCCTTTCCTCCAGACAGGGCCACAACCCTCCCCCACCCTGGAGTTCCTGAGACAGGACCAAATTCCCCAAACACTGGGATCCTTGGGATAGGCCAAGACCCCTCATCCCAAGCTCCCTAGGACTGGGACCAAGCCTCCCTCATCTTGGGCTCCTTGGGGTAGGGCCCGGCCCTCACCCCAGACCCCCTGAGAGAACGACTGAGCGCTCCTCACCCCGGCTCCCCAAGCACAGGGAAAGGCCCCTCACTTCGTGCTCCGAGGACAGCGCCAAGCCCCTACACCCCGCGCTCCCGAGACAGCCGAGAGCCCTCACCCAAACGCTCCTCCAAGACAGAAACAGCCCCCTCCCCCACTCCGGGACCCCCAGGACTCCGGGATTCCCAGGTCGACTGCCCCCAACCCAGGCCACTCGGAAGCTCGGGAGCAGAGACTCGACGCACACGGCGGCTTGGGCTACTCCCGGCGTCGGGTCCACGGCCCGGCCGGCCTTGGGCACCTCCATCGCCACCGGCCGCAGCGGCCGAGCAGCCGGCCCCGCCTCTGCTCCCCCACCTCCAGGCGTCCCCACGACCGCGCTCCGGCTCTCACCGCGCGACCCCGCACGCCTCGAACTCGACCCGGAGCCAAGATGGCGCGCGGGCGGGGAGCGCGCCGAGGTCGCGGGGCCGCGCACGCCAGAGGGGGCGGGGCCTGAGGACCGCACCGGCGGCGTCTCCGCGGGAAAACTGGGGACGGCCGGGAGGTCCGGGGACACCGGCACACACGCGCAGTGTCCGCGGTTACGCCCCGGGATGGGGCCCTCCTGTTGGGGCAGAGACCCCTGCGGAGGAGAGGAGCGGCCATCAGCGGAGTCCCGCGTCCGAAGGGCGGGGAGGATTTGGCCCTTAGAAGATGGCAGGGCTGGCGTTACCGGCTGACCACACCAAAGTGGCAAAGGCGAAGCGGCGGGATTCACTTTGGACAGCAGCAAGAGGTTCCGTTGGAGTGGCTGCTGCTGCGCGGCGAGAGCCTTGGTCACCGGGTTCTGAGCTTCGACCTCATCCTGTGGGCACTGGCAATCCACGGGGGGCTTTCATCAGGGGCCAAACCAGTTCGTGGGCACAGCTCTCTGGCTGCAGCGCAGAAGGTAGTTGGGGTGGGGACATTGGGCAGCAACAGCTGGTGACTCCAGGCCACGGGGCCCCGGGGGCTTGTCCACGGAGACTCGTATGGTGACCGGCGTATAATAGGCGCTCAAGTATTTGTTAAATGATTTGTTGAAACAAGGAACCAGAGAAATGGCAGCGGGAATGGAGAAAAGTAGATTAAGTTGGGAGATATTAGGAGGTAGGTTTGGTGAGGAGTTGGCGACTGTTTTGATGGAGGAGAGAACAGTCTAGGATGACTCCTGGTTTCAGACTTCGGACATGCTGGATTTGAGGCCAGTGAGCCCGCGCAGGCCGGGTGGCCAGCAGGCAGTTTGAAAAGGGCCAGGAGCTACAGCACCCCGAGACCACAAGGGGGCAGCAAATACTTGGCGGAGTGAGGTGTCAATCAGTCTCGCTGCTTTTTCTTCATGCTCCCTCCCTGTCCTTCCCAGCAGCGCCCCCCACAACCCAAAACCCCTACATCCAAACCTCTTCTGGGCTCCCCTTCTTGGCTAATAGCACGGAGAAACTTCAAGCCTCCTCTCTACCTTTGCACATGCTGCTCCCTTAGCTCTCAAAGACCCTGCATATCACCCTGCAGGGCTGCCTCCCCCATCCCTTTTTCTTCTGTGCCCCAATGGACCCTGTGCCCACCTGGTGGGACTGCCCTTTTCCTTGATTGTCTCCCCAGCTAGCCAGGGCAGGGATCAGGTGGACCCTACCTGGGTCCTCCCCACCTGGCATGGCATCTGACATTTAAAGGGTACTTGGTAAATGTGGGACAAATGGATACATAACCGAATGTTCCACTCACATCAGTCAAATGAGCGCATTCGTCCTGAGAGCACTACACCTCCCAGAAAGCCAGACTAGGATGAGTATAGCTCCTGGTCCAACCATTAGGAAGGCTGACAACTCTGCCCTCCACCACCCCTATCCCCACCCCCACCCCCATCTGAGACCAGGAAGCCGGCATACTCTTCCAGTGATTCCTATAGTTTATTGTCACTGGAATAGGACACTTATGAGGGGAGGGGGTGCAAATAGCAAATCTCAAGTCGACAGACCTCTGACCTCAGAGCCCCACCTGAGTGCAGACAGCTAGGCCATGAATCCAATAAATACAGAGCTGCCTCTGCCCTGTTACAAGGGCAGGTTGGCACAGGCCCCAGGAGCCTGGCTGTTCTGGTCCACCCTGGGATGGGGAGCAGCCATCACTCCTCTGCTGGCTTCACTTGCTTGGCGGCCTCTAGCTGGCAAAGTAGCTCATCCCACTGCACGAATTGCTTGGAGAGAAGCATTGTCTGGTCGTAGGTCAAGGTGAGAACAGGGGTCTGAGTGAGGGAGTGGAGAGATTTTGCATCTGCCAAAAGGGTGGCGGAGCAAGTGAAAGACAGGCTGGTTGGGATGGGATGAGAGACAGAGCCGGAGATGGAACAACAGGACGGGGCTTTGGACAGCACACCTCTGGGCCTGGCTGAGCAGAAAGGATACAGTCTTGTTGTATTCTTCCAGAAGAGCCTTGGACTCCTCAGTGACCTCCACACACTGGTCCTATGGGGCCAAAGTGTGACAGAGAAAGGAGTTGGACAAAGCCCCCACTTCCCACTAACCTTCCTGCCTCATCAGGGACCCTCACTCCCCATAGAGCCTAGAGAAGGTGATGTTTAACCCCAGAGCCAAAAGGAGCACATTTCTAAAGGGGCACTTTCAGGTTCCAGGATGGGTACCCTAACAGCAGTCCGAAGGCTGATGGAAGGCGGAGTGGACCACACATTTAAGGAAACATTCCTGCTAGTATATGTCTCCTTCTCCCCTGTCCCCCATTTCTGAACCCTCTTTGACCTTTACGCGAGGGCCTGGGATAGTGAAAAGACAGCTCCACTACCCATAGTCAAGGACACACCATCCCCAGGAATTCTTGGGTACCTCCCGACATCAATCTTCTGGTGTCTCAGAATAGCCCTACTCGGGAAGGCAGGAGACCTGGATGGGGCCCTAGGCAAGTCCTTTCCCTTCCAAAGGCAGATGGAAGATGAAGGATAAACCCCCAAGTTTCCCCTGGAGGGGAGCCTGAGGCTGCTTCCCCAGGTGGCAGTGCTGGGGATTAGGAACCTTACCACCTCTACATTCCCTTCCAGTCCTCTCCCCTCACAAACCTGCTGCTGGATGTGGATCTGGGCCAAGCGCTGCAGGTGGGCGGCATGCTCAGGAACGGCTGTAAAACACAACGCACACTGCCCGATGATGCTGTGCCTTCCCCCCGGACTGCTCAATAGTCTATTAGGTCTTCGGCAGGATTAGAGTATTGAGTGGAGAAGCTAAACAAACGCCAGCCTTCATCGAACGCTGCAGTTGGAGGTGGTGGTGGCGCTCCCTGCCCACCCCAGTCTTACTCTAGGACCTAAAGGGGAGGGGAAGATACATGCCCCTAGGAGAAGACAGAACCTTGGGGTCCCCAGAGTTGCCCCATACCCACACCGTGGTGCTGTAAGCAGGGCCAGGTAAAGAGAGCTTTGCCTATCTTGGGATCTGCCCCTTTGCTCTTAGCCCAGTGGAACCAGGTCTGCCTGGCCTAGGGAACAGGGAGCCTGCAGGTGTGCTGAGGATGAATGCCAGGTCCCTAAGCTGGCCTCCTGGAATCCAACACCCAGAGCCTCAGCCACTATGCTGGGCCCCACAGCTTAAGGCTGTCAGATGCTCAGCAGGTAGCTGATCAGGGCTAGCGAGGGGGAGCTGGAAAAAACACCTCCAGTGACAGACAAGATGGATATCTGGATTCAATTAAAGCCACTGTCTGCTTGTCAAAACCCCGTTCTAGGAGCTGCTCCTAGCAGTGCGGCAGGAAGAATCACGCACATTCACACACAGGCAGGGACTCTTACAGAAGAATCTGGGCTCTGCAGCACCCTGAAGGACAGATGCTGAGGGCTGGGGTAGAAGGCAAAAGGAATCCCCAGAGTTGGGGGCTGCTGGGCTCACACTAGTATCTTTAGGCCCAAACTGCCTGAGGTTCTGAAACTGAGCTCTCCGCCCTGGGAATTTTAACCCCAATGCAGGTGGCAGGTCCCCCCTGGGTGAGGGTAAAGACAAGGAGCAGACCTAGCCTGAGGCCCAGGAACCCGCACAGGGAAGTCCTGCCCATCCCCCCACTGCCCCAGGCGGAGCAGTGCAGCTGCAGCGGCTGGAGGTACCTTTGATATGAGCGCTGTCCAGCATGGGCACCAAAGCCTCCACCTGCTCCAGGAGCGCGACCTGGGAGAGGATGAACTGCTCCTCTGCAGCAGAAACAGACAATGTAGGGGCAGTGAGGCAAGCCTGGGTACTGCTAACCCCACGCAAGGGGCTGAGGCCCTGGCAGGGGAGATGGCTGGGTCCTGGAGCTTAGGACAGCTACTCTGCCCACTGCCCTCTTCTCTAGGTGCACATTCCCCCACACTGCCCCCACCTCTCCTGGATGCCTCTGACCTGACCCACGTTGAGCCCAAAGAGCCTCTAAGTTTGTCCAAATCCCACCTTTCTCCAAGTTTTAACTCTAAGGCCTCTTCCTCTAGCTTCCTATCAGCAAACTTAGTGAGCTGCTCTTGGGCCACAGGAGACAAAGTACTTCAGAGTTGGGTCCCCACACCCAAGGGCTCCTGGCAAGGTTTGAAAGAGGAGACGTGGCAGACTACCAGGCAGGTTCTGCTCAGCGGCTCTGAGAGGCACAGACAATTACAAGCTCCTGGAGAGCTGGGACAGTAACAGGAGAGTCCAGTGACGACAGCAGGATCTGGGCTGGGCCCTGCACAGGCGATTTCAATGGTTGCATGAGTGGGAAGGGCATTCAAGAAGGGAGGACTGTTATTATATCAAATGTTTGGAGGCACGAATGCCTGTCAATTAGGAAAAAGAATTCAATTGGCTGAACTGGAGCAAGAAGGGCACAGGAAACAGAGCTGGGGGAAAGGATGGATCTGGCAGACTATAGAAGGCTTTGAATGACAGGCTAAGGAATTAGGAGGAATTTATCCTAGCAAGGAGAGAGATAGACACTGAGGTTGCAAAGTAGACAAAGAGGCATGTTGGAAATGTTATGGGAAGATGATACTGGACCACATGCAAGAAGGGAAAGCCTAGGATCAAGAAGAGGACTGAGGAGACCACAAATGCTCATGTGTGAGGGGACGAACACTGAGGCAGTGGCCACAGGGAGGGTGGAGAGGCTGGACTCAAGAGTCAGTGCAGAAGAAGATCTCCTGAACTTGGTGCCTGAGCCACGGCAATGGCTCAGGGACGTCCTGGGTCATCATTGTATACCTCACACCTAGGAGAGTCTGGATCACAGCAGATGATCATTAAACATCTTTGAATGAATGAACAAACCCATGTGCTTGGCAAACCCTACCTCGTGGAGTGGCTGACTAACTCATTAGCAGATATTGCTAAGACAATAGTTCCTGCCTAGAACTCTGAAATCCCAGAGCTTTCTCACATGAAAGAAAGATGTTGAAACTCATGCCAATATTCTCCCCTCTCCCAAATGCAATGCTCTCTGCCCCTACCCTCTCCGAGAAGCTTCTCTGTTTAGTGAGAAGAAGTGAGGAAGTTTCTGAAGGAAAATCCTAGAGGCAGAACATTGCTAGAACATTGGAGTAGCTCCCACTGTGGCTGGCACCAGGACCTGCAGCTGGCTCATAAGTATACCACACCCCATGCCTGCTACAGGACCACAGGACCACCTCAGGCCTCAGCCCAGGGCCAGGCAAGAATTCCAGAGAGCAGCTTCCAGGGCTGTCTCCATGCGAGGACTGGCAGGGAGGCCATCTCTGTCCCCAACTTGCCCCACAACCCACATCTCCAGGTGCATGTGCACACATAGTCCAGCACTACCTGCTAAGATGAACTGCAGCTTAGAGGCATCGGGTATGGCAATGCGGTCAATGTACTCAGGATCCAGGTATTTGATCAGGTCTTCAACTAGAAAAGCAGCAAGATGGAAAATGGAAAAGGGTTGGGGAGTGGGGATCTCTCTTGTGAAGGATATCAGGGGAGTGATCAAGCTTAGAGGGAGCCTTGAGTGAGGAGCTGGCACCCACAGTGTCCATCAGCAGGCCCCCTATTCTCATTTCCCAGGCTCTCCCCTCTGATCACCTATTGGCCAACCTCAAACTTCAGAGCTGGGAACACACTTGCCTCCACCACCATGGGGCCCTAAGCATTCCCACTGATCTATCTTTTTTTTTTGGTGGGGAAGATTGGCCCTGAGCTAAAATCTGTGCCCATCTTCCTTTATTTTTTGTATGTGGGCCACGACCACAGCATGGCTTGCTGAGTGGTATAGGTTTGCGGCCGGGATCTGAACCCATGAACCTGGGCCACCGAAGAGGAGCATGCCAAACTTAACCACTATGCCACCAAGCTGGCCCCTCCCACTGACCTATCTTTATCAAGGATGAAGGGGCACTTGCCCTTCAGTGCCACCAAGACAAGCCAGAGCTTTATCTGATTTCTAGTTACTGAGCAGGTTGCTAGCTCAGACATAAGCAAAAAGGCATGGCTGAGCCAAGGCTGGGTGGGGCTCTCAGTGCCTAATTTCTTTCCTGCCTCTGAACCTTGCCTGTGGAAATCCCATACCCCTTCTCCCTCCATCAAGGGGACCTTTCAGGCAAAGCTCTTATCCTATAACTTAAGATACTGTCATGGGCTTGGAGTTTAACCACAAAGGAAACGTCTTCACATTCTATCCCTAAAGGGCCAGGGCTAGGTCCCAGGAAGCATAGGCATGGAAGGAGGGCAGGAAGGCCCCCATGGAAGCACTTACTCTTTTTGTACAGAATCTTCACCCTCTCCCTCTTACTAGCGATGTTCCCCAAAGCCACCTGCACCTTGACCAGGCCATCAGCCACCTGTAAGGGGATAGCAAGTTAATTCTAAGATTCACCACCTGGATCAAGGCTTGGAAGAAGTAAAGAACCCTCATTCCCTCAGAATCCCAAACCTCCTTGTCCCAGCAATCTAGGTTAGTCCCCTTCTCTTGTATTAAAGGAGATGTAACCCCACCTTCCAGGGAGCCTCAATGTGAAGGGGGAGATAATCATGTACTCCTTGGGGAGTTTCAAGTCTGACTGGGGAGGTAATGAACTATGTTAGAGTTTATGAGGCACTAGCATATGGTATATATTCCCTGGTTCCTACCTCTCTGGCTGAACCTACGTAGGCTTTAAGGGTAGAGGATGAATTCCAATATTAAAGGGTCGAATAGAGGGAGAAGCTACAGAAGTGAATGATCTCACCCAGGTTTTGGGTTAGAGGTGAAGAATGGCAATATTCAAGGGTCAAATACGTGGGGAGGCAAATAAGACTAAGCAGCAGCAGCCAGAGAGGTAACAGGAAAACCAGGTGAGTTATCCTCACGGATGTCAGAGGGAGACTGTTTTGAGAAGCCAGTTCTCAAATGGGGCACAATCTGCTGGTGAAAACTAATTCCACAAGAAGTGTACAAACAGATATCATCACCTCTGATGCACTCAACTCCAGGGTATGCCCAACACTCCACCTTCAGTTAAAGGTCTTCCCCTAGTAAGAAGGGGATGATAGGACAACTGAGCTTCACAGTTGTCAAAACTCAGCCACTGGTGTGAAGGAGAGCCGGTCCATATCTGCCTAGTATCCAACCCCTTCCCCCCCTAATCCGGGCCCTCTCAGACCTCACCTCTCACCCCCTGGAGCCCTCCTCAGCCACCTCTGCTCTTCCTCCTCTGGGTCCCCATGGACCTCTCTCCGCACAATTCATTTAGCAATTAATTGCACAGGGCTGCGTGACGGCCCTTCGATTGTGGACTTCAGCTCGTCAGTTTCTCGAGCGTGTCAGGTCTCCCCATCAAGCCCGCGAGGGCAGGCGCGGAGTCTCAGTCACAGTTCACACTGCACCCATCTCAAGCGGGCCTAATAACCCGCGGTGCCCTCCATGGGAATGGACCCCGAGGGTCCGATATGCTCGGGAGGTCTCAGACCTTATTTCAAAGGCCCGGCTGCGGGCGACGGGACTGGAGCGGTGGCATCCATCCCGAGGACCAGGCCAGTACAGCGTTTCTGCTCTGCCCCAGAAGGGACCACTGGACCCCAGATCGCTCACCTTTCGCGAGCCGCGCGACCCTCCCGGCCCGTACACCCAGCGCTCCAGCTCCTCCACACGGGCCTGGAGCCGCTGCACCTCAGTCACCGCCGCCATAGCTACCGCCGCCCCGCCTAGCCGGAGAACAGCCGGGGGGCGGGACGTCCGTCCACACAGAGAAGGCTGGCCAATCCGAGTGCACGGGCGGCCCTCCATACAGGAAGTGACGCCACGATCCAGTCCTTCAGTGCCGGAAGGGAGCGGCAGCTGTCTGGTTACCTAGGCAACGGCTACCTGTCAGGCCGTTCCCTAGCTTTCAGCTCCCGCTTGTCAAGACAAACTTTGCCTTTCTTCTTCTAATTCCAGGGTACCAAAGAGGTTTCCCCACCCCATTCACCGAGGTCCCACATATAAACACACCCATTATTCCAGGGTTGGTCCATTCCCATAGATCGGTAAGAGGTCCTGTGAGATACCATAATCTTCTAGTCTTCTAAGGTTCCAGCGATTAAATGTTTTGCCCAAGGCCACCCAGCACTATATGGCAGAATCGGGATTTGAACTCAGGCAGTCGGATTCATTAGACCTACATCTTCTACTCTCATAGACCTTTGCTATTCTCTCTTCCCCTCCGAGAACTCCTGGCCGGTTGCAGCCTGTGTATACCACATAATTCCTCCCCAACCCCCAAACCCAAACAAGAAGGAGAGGAGGCACTGGAGAGGGAGGGACTGCAGCTTTATTATCCAGATGTGACCCGAGGGACATCTCCTTCACAACACCCCAACCCAACCCTTCACCTGGCTCCTGAAGAGAAGCAGGTCTGACTCGAAGAGATGACAATGACATGGGGGCACATGAGGAGATGATGGGGGTTACTGGGGGCAGAACTCTTTGGTAGATGCTGCTGGAGTTGGCCAGGGAGGAGATGCCCTCCCTTTACAATGAGGTAGATGTAACATCAAAAGAAAACTCTTAGGCTTCAAGTCCACGTGGCACGGGGGGGGAAGTGGTCACCCCTCAGCAGTGGGGCTGGAACTCTTAATTCCAAGTGGGAGCTCTCAGGGTGAGGCATTGGAAGGGGGCCCTGTAGGGGGCAGGGGTACAGGGTTGGTTGGGCCCTGGGAAGCTGGCACAGGCTGGCGGCGGGCAAAGAGGATGCCTGGCAGAGGGATGAGGAGATGGTAGAGGGAAAACAGAAGCAGGAGGGGGTTGGGGTATGGAAACAGAAGAGGGAAACAAAAGTCAGTGTTCTGACTGCTAGAATACCACACACGTACCCCTGCCACAAACCAATGAGGACAAGCCCCTTGGGTCAGTTAGAGGTTCCTATGCCAACACAGATACTCTTGAGCAGGTAAACAAGAAAGATTTACACTAACAGGCCCATGACAAGGCAGACATCCCATGGTACCCATGCCAGAGAGGTCATGCCTTGGACCCCATGCCATGTAGACACCCCTTTAACCCATGCCAGTGTAGCAATCCCCTGAACCCCATGTTACCCATGCAAGTTTGGATATCCCTGAACCTCATGCTCGTAGAGAAAGTCTAAAATCCCCATGCCAGTGTAAATACCCCTGACCTCATGCCAGTGTAGACAGCCTGCAGTACCCATACCAGTGTAGACCACCCCGTTGATCTCTAGGGCCATGTTGATACTGCTGATACCACTGCCCGCCAGATTGAGAGGCCCATCCAGCTGCTCTTCTGTCCAGGAGGGGGCAGGGGAGTCACATTTTGGGTAATCAGACTTCGGACTTACCAGCTACCCTCTCCATCCCTATACACAGGCCGCATTCCACTTCAGCCCCAACCAGTAATCACACAGTTGTCTATTGAGGGATCTATCTGCCCCATCCCCAACACCTATCAGGTAATGGATCTATCCTCCCTCAGTGCACAGGCCCAAAGCCCTCTCAGCAACAAACCCTTTCTCACCCCTCAGGGGAACCTTGCCACGGGGCAGGAAACTGGGGGGTGCGCCAGGTCGAGGTGGGTCCATGGGTCCCATCAGCACAGCCCTCTTCTCTGGGGGCTCCTCTGGTGCCAACTTCTCCTGTGCAGGTCCCAAGGCCAGGCCCACAGGCAGTGCCAGTCGAGGGGTTGGAATTCCGCTCTCCTCTGGAAGAACAGGTCATTCAGCGCCCCCACCCCAACCAACTCCATCTCTGCATTTTGTTCTTTCCCCAGGTTTTGACCAAGGGAGGTCACCCAAGCTCAAGCACGAAATTCAATCTCCCCTCCCATCCAGTCTCAGCCTAGAGGCTCTGAAGCTGGAGAGCCCAAAGGGCCAATATATATGTCTAGGTTGGTCCAAGACAATTGAGGGGATTTCCTTGCTCTTGGTCGGTAAATAATCCAGGTCATAGGAGGCACAAACCACATGCAAATGGAAGCCCTGGGTGGAGAGGTGTGGAGTGGAGCTGCCTTGGATAAAGGACCTTTTCCTGAGCTTCAGCCCCCCACCGCAGTAACCAGTACCCCAGAGCCCCTAAGCCTCCATTGACCCCAAACTCAGGACCCCTTAGCATTAACGCACACCAAACCTCAATGCCCTGTCAGTCCTTGCTGCCCCCGTACCTCAATGCCTCCCAGACCTCAGAGTCCCCACGTTTGTAATGTTCCTTATATCTCAGAGCCCCCTAGGTCTCAGAGACTCCCAAAGCTCAGGCCCTCCCCTCTCAAACCTTTCTTAACGGGGTTCGGGCTCAGCTGCGCGCAAGCGTGCGCCGGCAGGCCGGAGGCTGAGCCCTGGGCCGGGCGAGGTCCGGGCGGGGGCGCGGGCGGGGCCGAACCGGGCCCGGAGGCGGGGCCCAGAGAGCCCCGAGGGGGCGGCCCGGCCAAGCTGAAGAGCGGGGCGGCGGTGTAAGCCTGCCGACGGCCCTCGCGCCTGTTGCTGTCGATGGCGGCCTGGAGCTCCCCCGGGGAGCTAAGCGCCCGCGTCTCGCACTCGTACGGGTACAGGTACTTCATGTACCTAGGGGCGGACGGGGGGGTGGGAGGCTGGGCCCAGCTGATCCGGCCCCAGCCCCAGCCCCAGCCCCAGCCCCGCCGCCCGCCCGGGGCCCTCCGCGCCCCCTCCCGCCCCGCGCCGCGCCCCTCCGCGCGCGCGCCCGGCCTCACTGGGTGCGCAGAGTGAAGGCGGCCGAGGTGATGGTGGTGGGCAGGCTGAGGCCGCGCGTGACCTCCCGCCACACCTTGCGGTTAATGACTTCCACCAGGCCGCCCTTGGCCGTCACCAGGCGGAACAGCGCGTACAGGTCCAGCACCTGCTTCGCCATGATGGGCACGCGGTTCACTGGCGTCCCTGGTGCGAGTGGACAGAGTCAGGGCACTAGACTAAGACCCAGTCTGCGGGCATCCTCGGGGACTGAAAGAGGCCTGCCTGGACGAGGCCCGAGTACAGGGGGGACCCCCGAGAAAGCGGGGGAAGAGGGAGGATGGGGAGATGGGATTCCAGGCAGACACCACAGAGCCCCCAGGCCTCCATTGCAGCAGGAAGGGCAGGAGGCTGGACCAGGGGTGGACAGACTTCTTCTGATAAGGGCCAGATGGTGAATGGTTTAGGCTCTGCGGGCCGAACGGCCTCTGTCAGAACTGCTCCAACTCTGCCGTTGTGGCCTGAAAGCAGCTACAGGGAAATTTAAATAATTTTAAGGAATGGGCGCGGCTGTGTTCCAATAAAACTTTATTTACAGACTCTGAAATTCCAATTTCACGCGTCCGGAAATGTTATATGTCTTTTAATTTTTTCCACTATTTAAAAATGTAAAACCATTCTCATCTCGCAGGCGGCTAGATGTGGCCCGCAGGCTTTAGTTTGCCGCCCCCTGGGGTAGACCGTAGGAAGGACTTCGTGACAGTGCTGAAGAGCCGTCCCCCCTAAGCAGCGTCCCCCCGAGGCAGGGGGACAGCGGATGGGAGAAGCCGCAGCCCCCGTCGCGGCTCGCCGACTCCGCAGCCCGCGCCGCCCCCGCCGGCCAGTCCTGACAAAGGGGCCTGTCTGCGCTGAGCGATGGGCCCCAGTTAATTCCTTACCGATCCCGTCCCCTTCCGCCGCCGCCTTTGGACCCGAACAATTAGCTGCGGCCTGATTAATGGGGGGAAATTATCGGCCCCGCGGGACCCCTCCCCCCGCAGAGGGCGCGGAGGGAGGCAGGGACCGCAGGGAGGCAGAGCTCTGGGCCTGGGAGTGGCGGGAGAGTGCTAGGATCCGCTCAGACCACCCTACCCCACCCCCCAATGGAGGGCAGACCTCGAGGAAGGGGCAGGGAGGGGACACTGGGACCAGAATGACTGGGCCTCCCAGGGGAGCAAAAGGACCTGGGGCCCCACCGAGGGTCCCTGGTTAGGAAGGGACCGGAAGGAGTGCTAGACTGGGGTGGGGGCCGGAGGGACTTTGGCCAGCAGCTGCACTAAGGAGGGGAGCAGTGCAGCCAGTTAATTAGCAGCTTATCAGGCCGCGCTCGGAGTGAGTTAATTAGCTTTGTAGAGAGAGATAATGAGTCAGTCTTCAGACCCATGAATCTGGGGAGAAGCCTAAGTGATGGACTGCGCCCACCCTGCTCCCCTCCTGGACCCTGCTTGCATTCTCTTCTAGCTCTGAGCTTCCTGGAAAGGAATTCCTCCTCTTCCACAGCTACAACCCACATTGTCCCCAGTCTACCCCTTGAGAAGTCCTTCCTTCAGTCTAATCCCAGTCCTTCCTGCTGTAGAGCACACTGGGTGTCCCCCACCTGAAGCAAGGGGAAACTGAGGAGAGGCAAGCCTGGAGGAAAGGCCAGTGAAAGAGGACCAAGGCATTCCCAGTCTCCCAGTCCTGGGAACCCCTCCCACCCCAGGCCAGCCCCCCACCAGGTCCCCCTCCTACCCTCCCAATTGATCCCATACTCATTAACCTGCCAGTGGGCTGGCCACTAATTAATCCCTGGGTGGAGGAGGGGGAGGGTCAGAGGTTAAAGATGCTATTGAGAGCCCAAAGGATAGATGCTGCCAAGCTCAGGCCTCCGCAGAGAGGACCCAACCTAGGGACTAAACCCTGGGGTCTCTCTTCCTCAAACCTGGTAAGTGGGGGTCCTTCCCTTACATCACCCCACTCACCCCTCTTCTGCATGAAGCTAAACAGGTCATCCAGAAATTCCTTCCTCTTGGGGTCTGCATCGAGCTCGTACAGCTGGGGAAGGAGTGAGGTCATTTTCTAGCTCCGCTGACTCCCCCATCCCCCTGGGACTCCATCTCAGGTTGTCCCCTGAATAAGGGTCCCCAGCTGAAGGGGTAAGTAGAGTCTGAAATGTGGACTCCCTGGCATTAGACTCTCTCCCCCTGGGGGCAGGTAGGGGCACTTTTTTCTAATACACACGGAGACCCTCCACTGGCCAGTGGTGCCCTGTGCAGCTCAAACCACCCATCTGGGGAGGAGGGGAAGGGAGGAAGCTGCGGAGGCTCAGCCTGCTCGCCAGGGCATGCATACAGCCCTAGGGAGGAAGTCAGGCTGGGGCTGTGTTCCACACTGAGGAAACTGACAGATCCAGCTCAGGCCCTCATTCACTCTCATTCATTCCTGCGAGGGCTGCTTGCTGTTCACACCTCTGTGTGCCAGGGCTGGGGAGGAGGGACCAAGATGTCTCTAACCCATCCCTCAGGCAGGGTGGATGTCAGAAGCTCCTGGATTGAATCCTGGGGCCCCTCAGCCCACCTTCTGGTCTTACCTCCTTTCAGGGACAGTATCTGCCCACTGCAGATACTGCCACAGAGGCAATGGCCCTGCATCACCCAGGATCTGTAGGGTCAGGACTTGAAAGCCCTTGAAAGGGGGTCATCCCACCCATGCCCAATCACCTAGAGTCCCACCTCCAGTATCACCTGCCAAATACCACCCAGGAGGAACAATACCTAGAGTTAACAGTCATTTTTCCAGAGTAACATTCCCTGAGTAACACCCATGGGTAACACTCCATACCCCAATAAAAACTCTCAGAGGAAAAAAACACCCATGAGTAACAAACCCCAGAGATCCACCTTTAGAGCTACATTCCCACAGAACTGAACCCTAAGTCTTAGATGGATACCCACAAATAACACACACTTTCCAAGTAATAATACCTAGAATTACACCCAGGAGAAACTGTCGCTAGAGCCACGTATCCAGAGTAACAGAGCCCTGAGTAACACTCTCAGTTTTACACTAATGCTGCAGAGTGTTAGCCACAGATTAACACTTCTGGAAAATACCCAAGACCAACACCCTACAAGCAACATTACCAGAATAGCACACCTAGAGTCACAGCCCTGCGTGATACTGTCATAGTGACAGTCTGGAGTAGTGCCTTAGAATAACACTCAGATGGGCTCCGCAGGGAGGAAGAACCTCAAATTAAGGCCCTGTGAGTAACATCTTGCATTCCTAACTGTACAAGGGCCCTTTAGTCACACTGAGGCTGTAGTGGCCATCCCAGGCTGGGAACTGTCACCCAACAACTCAGGCCAGGGAGAGGATTTGTATGGGGGGAGTGTGATGGGGAAGAGATGAGGGGTGTATCAGCTTGCCAAAGGAGTGGCAACCTCCATTCTTCTTCCAAAGACAGAAGTAGGCAGCCCAGGACACCCCCACTGGTCACTGGAATATGACCTTGTGACTTGATATGTGAGAAGGTAGGGTAGGATGGTGCTGGCCCTGGAATCCCCAGTCCCTAGATCCCCATCCCTCAAAAGAATTCTTGAAGGCTCCTACATCCCTCCCCCTTTCCCTCCCAGCCTCACCGAGAGCTTCCAGTCTGTGGCCTCGTGTTTCTGGGCGGCTCTTGCACCTCTAGTGTGGGCCTAGGCACTTCACTCTGTGCCTCTGGGTGTCTGTCCCTCCCTCCCTGTCTCTATCTATCCTTCAGTCTTCTCCTGTCTCTCTCCAGGTCTCTGTGTCTCTGTCTTTCCATCCTGCAGAGGGCAGTGGGGGTTGGGGGGCTACTAATCTCCTGGCTCTGCTTTTGCCCAGAGAGGAGGCAGGGAGGGCCTGACATTGAGGGGGTCCTACCTGTTTGAACTGTTCCTCGTAGGTCCACTCATGGGCATGCGGTCCAGGTGGCTGGCTGGAAGGTGAGCTGGGGCCCCGGGGTCCTGGACGGCTCTCCTCGGCTGCCACCTCCTCTGCCTGAGTTTCCTCTCCCTCCTCATGCTCTTCAGCACCCTCCTCTTCCTCAGCCCCAACCTCCCCCAAGGCCCCCTTAGGGGCCTGCAGGGTCCGGGGGCCAGGCAAGGGAAGTTGTGGTGGCGGTGGTGGGCGTGGAGGGGCCAATGGCCCCACCCCCTGGGCCAGTCGGGCCGCCTGCTGCCTCTGCAGGGCCTCCATGACAGCTTCCAGGCGCAGTCCCCCCGCTGGTGGAGGGGCTGGCACCAGGTGGGGCCCCGAGGAAAGGGCTGCCTGTGGGGGAGGGAATTATGGGTGCTGGGCCTTGCTGCCCCCACAACCCCCAACACAAGAGGAGGTGGTCATGGATTCAGGGAAGTGCAGAGGGGCCATGAGGAAAAAGGCAGAAAAATAGCTTTCCCAGAAATCGACAGAGACAGAGAGCTAGAAAGAGCAGGAGAGACAGAGACCAGACCCAAAGAGACAGAAATGGGCACTGACCGAGGACAGGTAGAGACTAAGCAGATCAGAGAGGGTGACAAAAAGAAAAAGAACCAAGAAACAGAGAGAGATGGAGAGAGAGATCCAACAGAGAGAGACAATGGCAGGGAGATCTGGAGATAGAAATGGAAATGGGACAGAGAGACAGAGGAGGGGAGAGACAGAGAAATCAGGCAGAGACCAGTGGAGAGACAGAGATGGGGAGTGATGAGACTGATAGAGATATTGGGTAGAGAGACAGAGAAGGTAAAAGAGAGAGAGGAACAAGAGATAAACATCAAAGACCTGAGTGACAGGCAGTCCAGAGAGAGGGACAGAGACGGAAACAGAGGCAGAGATAGACAAATAGTGAGACAGCGGCTGAGAGAGATGGGGAAAGACTGACGCAGCAGGAGACAGAGACAGAAGAGGGAGATGAGAGACAGGGCGAGACAGTAAATAGAGGGGAACGGATAGAGACAGGGAAAAACAGACGGAGAGATGGAGCAGAGACGCAGAGGACTGGAGCCGAGAAGGCGCGGGAATAGAGGGCGGCGGGGGCAGAGCCTGGGACGGGGACGGGACCGCGCGGGCAGCGGACGGCGGGGTCTCGACGCCCGCTCTCCGGCTCCCCTCATCCTGTGGCCGCACTCACCAGCCTGGCGCGCCCCGCTGCCCCCGGCGTCTCCACGGCGCTCCCTCTGCTCCGCCCGCCTCTCGGGGGGCCCCTGCCTCGGCCCGGTTCCCCGCGCGGGTCCCCGCCGTGCACTCCCGCCGCCGTGCGCTCCTCTGGCCGCGGTGCGCTCACTCGCCGCTCTCCTGGCGGCGGCCACGGGGGCGGGACCCGAGCGGGGCAGGGCGGGCGGAGGCGCAAATGGAGAGGCCCCCGTGGGCTCTGCCGCACCCAGCCCCCCAACAAGTGTCTCCCACCCTCCATGCAGCCAGATTCCGGGGGATTGGGTACTGGAGAGCTGCCGGGAATCGTGCAAAGGAGTGTGGGGAGTCCACGGCCACTGGACTCCGGACCAGGGCCCCCCCACCCAGCCTCACAGGTCGTGCCACCCACACCCACACTCAGTGCCCGGCATTCACGCACAAACAGCCGTGTTCACACACCAACACGCCCTGTCACAAGTTCAGGCGCACAGCTGCCCTGTTTCACGTACTTGGTTACATGGACACTACAGCGCCAATGGCCTGGACAGGCTGCCGTCATGAGGGGGATCACTCTGCAGGATGCTGGGGTGAGTGGGAAGGGCCTGGACACAACAGAAGCTTCCCCCTGCCTGCCCAGGTGCTGTTGCCAACTGCATGCACGCTGCAGTTTGCACAACAGTATGTGCACGCGGTGGTGGACTCACACCTTTGCGCTCACACACTCAGAGGTCTCTGAGTTGATTCTGCACCCACAGCAGGGTACACACACCACATGCAGATACACAGCCCCACAGTTTTTAGCTCTTTTGATGTTTTATTATGGGAATTTTCAAACACACACACAAGAGGAGTGAATAGTATAATGAACCTCGGGTACTCATCATGCATTTCAGCAGTGATCAGCATTTTGCCTGCCCATCTTCACACACCTCCTCTATCCATGTGTGCGTGACTCCCCAGTCTGTATCTCCAGACCCCTTCAGGCAACTGTTTCCGGCCCACTCTACCCTCAGTCGTCCGCCAGATGCTGAGATGCTGTTCCTTTTAGGGGGGTCCTGAGTGGCAGGCCACAATTTCTCCTCTGAGCAGCCTGGACCCCACTCCTCTCAGACACCCTCATCCATTCTGGTTTCTTCCTGTGCCTAAGGGGATCAACCTACCAAAAGCATGAGGGCCACCTGGAGGTGATGCCAAGTGTGTGAGTGAACAACATGCGTCTGTAGGGGTCACACCTGGCATGGGTGTGAAACTCTGCTATGTCAAACTCGGCACCGGGCCCATCCCCTGACCTTACGCCCAGTGAGGCACACTGGTCCCAGGGCCAACACTCCTCTAGGAGGCAGAAATTCAGGTGTGACTCTTGCCTCCTCCCTCTCCCCGACCCTCTGCCAATCAGTGCCCTCCTCTCAGACCCAGCCTCCTCTGGCCTGGACCACCAACTCTTCTCCCCAGGACCTTGTGGTAGGTGACACCCCCTGCTCTCCCTGTCTCTAGCCTCCACCCTTATCCCCAGCCCAGCTCCGACTGAGGCACTAGGTCCGTGTTCTCTTTGGCCCCTCCCTGCCACACTGAGGTTCAGTTCTGCTCACACCTTTGGCTCACTCCAGCGCTCTCCTGCTCAGATTTCAGATCTGACAGCCAGGCAGACCCCCTTTCCCCCAAGAAGCCTTGGTGATTCGACCGCCTTCAGCACCGATGCCCCTTCCCCAGGGCTTTGTGGGGAGAATTCTCCTGGGGAAGAGTCAAGCTGCCTCCTCTACCCACCTCTCTCCGAGGCTGGGCCCACAGACGGGAGAATGGGCGAAGGTGCAGAGGCAGACAAACATGCCCTGGAGGTCTCCAGGGGGCTAGAGTTCTGCGGACCTCCTGTGCCCAGCTTGCTCCCTTTCCCTACACAGCTTCCTCTGGCTGCTCAGAGAAGAGGGGGTGCCTGGAGAGAGCTACATGGTAAGATTCCTCTTGGAAAGGTAGGAACTGGCTTGGGGAAATTCTAGTTCTGAGCGTTTGAAGATTGCTCAGCAGGGGCAAGGGACTGGCAGCTACTTCCAAAAGGAGAGAATCAACCAAGCATAGTAAACCCACCTTTGGGGTCTGGGCCAGGAGGGCTACAACTGGGAAGGGCTGAGGGGAAGGAATAAGCCTGACCAGGACCCAGTTTCTCTCCCTCTTCATCTGCGACAGGGAAAGGCTGTCTCTCACTACCACACATAGCCCTCATCTGATCCTATACCGCACAGGGACAAAGATGACAGACCTACACTTCCACTCATCCAACACATACTTACTGAGAACCTACTCATGCCAGGCATGTTGGACACAGGAGTGAATAAAACAAAGTCCCTATTATAATGGTATAATACCGGTGGGGGAAATATATAGTGTGTCAGATGGCAATAAGTAAAATGAAGAAAAATAAATCTGAGTTGGAGGGAATAGGAGGGGAAGGATGTATTAGTTACCTATTACTGCATAACAAATTACACTGAAACTTAAAACAACTTTCATTTTCTCACAATTCTGTGGATCAGGAACTCGAGAGTGGTTAGCTGAGTGGTTCTGGCTCACTGTCTCTCATGAGGTTGTAGTAAAAATGTTGGCTAGGGCTGCAGTCATCTGAAGGCTTGATTGGGATGGAGGATCCACTTCCCAGGTGGCTCACTCCCATGGTTATTGGCAGGAGGCTGGTCTCCCCAGGTGGACCTCTCCACAGGAGAGGACCCCTGTTGGGAGTGTCCTCCCAACGTGACAGTTGGTTTCCCCCAGAGTGACCTGAGAAAGAGACTAAAAAGGCAGTAATGCTCTTTATGCCCTCGTCTTGGAAGTCACACACTGTCACTTCTGCCATATATTATTTGTTAAAAGTACATAATTTAGGGGCCGGCCCCGTGGCTTAGTGGCTAAGTGCGCATGCTCTGCTGCTGGCGGCCCGGGTTCGGATGCGGGGCATGCACGGATGCACCGCTTCTCCAGCCACGCTGAGGCCGAGTCCCACATACAGCAACTAGAAGGATGTGCAACTATGACATACAACTATCTACTGGGGCTTTGGGGGGAAAAAAAAAAGGAGGATTGGCAATAGATGTTAGCTCAGAGCCGGTCTTCCTTAGCAAAAAGAGGAGGATTAGCTTGGATGTTAGCTCAGGGCTGATCTTCCTCACAAATAAAAAAAAAAAAAAGAAAAAGAAAAAAAAAGTACATAATTTAGTCCAGTCCACATTCAAGGGGAAGGGAATTAAGCTTCAGTTCTCAAAAGCAGGAGTATCAAAATTTTACGGAGGTACTTTAAATGTTGGAGGTATAATTTAATAATTTAAAATTATGGAGGTATACACAAATGTTAAGGGAAGGACTCACTGAGCAGAAATCAAAGGAGGGGAGGAAGAGAGCCATGGGGATACCTAGGGAAGAGCACTGCAGTCAGGAGAGTAGCAGGTGCAGATATCTTGAGGTGGAAGTTTGCTTGATGTGCCACAAGAGTCAGGAGGCCCCTGGGCTAGAACAGGGCGGCAAGGTGAATGGCCGGATGTTTGCTCAGGGGTAACACGGGCCTTGGAGTAGGTTCCTGGAGGTAGTGAAAGGACTGAATGAGATGGGAGGCCACTGGAAATGTCTGAGCAGAGAGTGGAAGTCTGACTCTGGCTGTTGTGTGGAGAACACTCCACACAGGAAGCACTGTAGTAATCCAGGCAAGAGATGATGGCTTGGACCAGGGTGGTGGCAGTGGCGGTGGCAAAGTGGTTAGCTTCTGGATATGTTTTGAGGATAAAACTGACAGGATCTGTTGATGCCTTGGATGTGGGATGTGAGAATGAGACGTATCTAAGATAACTCCAAGGCTTTAGGCCCAAGCAGCTGGGTAAATGGAGGTTCCCTTCACTGAGACAGTAAAGACTGCAGGAGGTGCAGGATTGGGAGAGAAATCAGTTTGTGTCGAGCTTTCTAAGTTTGAGATACCAATTAGACAACCAAGTAGAGATATTGAACAGAGAGGGAGGCAGTCAGATATCTGAATCTGGAGCTCAGAGAAGAGGTTTAGGCTGAGACAAACAAGTACAAGTTAAGACATATAGATGGTCCTCAAGGTC